CGTCGAGAAGCCAAAGCTGGGCCCCAACCCTGACCTGCTGGATCTGGTCCAGAGCGTGGACAGCAGGAAGAAGCAGAAGGAGCAAGGGGAGCCTGGTGCCGAGGAGGAGCCCTTTGCCCTCGGGGCTGAAGCTGCCAACTTTGTCCCCAACAGCACGGCCAGGGGCGGGCAGCACCTCCCGCCGGCTGACGATGCTCCGGCGTGGTCCTCCTGCCTCAAGTCCCCCACCATCCAGCCCAAGCCAAAGCCACAGCCCAGCCACAACCTCAGCGAAGCCAGAGGGAAGGGAGCCGAGCTCTTCGCCCGCCGGCAGTCCAGGATGGAGAAGTTCATCATCGAGGCTCCCTCCCAGCCTGAGCTGCTGCGGTGCCCATCACCCACCATGTCCCTGCCTCCCTCCTGGAAGTATGACACCAACGCTTGCCTGTCACCCATGGTCTCCAGACACCCCTCCAAGAGTCCCTCCAGGCCCTCCAAAACCCCCCCAGCATCACTGTACAGCGGCAACCTGATGGAGAATGAGGTCTCCCAGAAGGAGCTAGAGATCTCCAAGCACCAGCCCTACCAGCTCCAGTCTTCACTCTTCATCCTCTCTCCATCCAAGGGGCCAGCAAGGTCTATGCCCCAGGAGATGCCTCCACCCAGACCCTCTCTTCCTGACACCTACCCTTACCCCCAGCAAACCTCCTGCCCGACCTCTCCACTGCCTCCTACCCGCAATTGGCATCCCCCCGCTGTGCCCAGCACCGGCCAGACCACCTCCAGCCCCTTCCCCAGCACTGCCGGGGCTCTGCCCCTGACTCACTTTTTTTGGTGCTCTCCCCCGGACTCCCGCCAGCCACGCTGGTCCCGGAGCCCCGACCGAGGTGCTGCTGGGGTCCCCGTGCCGCCTGCTGCCGCCCCGAGTGAAGGGGGGCTTCCAGGCACCCCGGCCCTCCTACTCCACCAGGAACGCCGGCATCGAGCCGCAGGTGTGGAAACCTTCTTTTTACTACAAATAGCGGTGGTGGAGAGAAAAACCTGGGAATTTTAGGCTTCCCTCTGCCGACTGAGCTCCTCCCTAACTGCTCACGGGTGTGCCAAA